TTTGTTCACATGGGGTAACTGTAGCTTTGGCTTTTGCAGCAACAGTAGATGGATGTGGCAACTTGTACAGGCTGGCTTTTGGCACAGTAGACAGCTGGAGGGTGCAATTTTTTCTGACAGCGAGCCGTTCTTAAGTTTTGTAATTTATGATGTCTTTAAATATGGGATCTTGTTTACTGTTGCCCTAATTATACCTCTGATATTTTATTTAGCTTAATGTTTTAATTTTGTGCTCATGCCCAGAGATAGTTTCCCAAGGGATACCATTAAAAAATGAGATTTTTTTTTTTGGTTTTTGGGCCACACCCAGCAGTGCTCAGGGATTACTCCTGGCTCTATATGCAGGAATTATTCCTGGCAGAGCTGGGTGAGGGTGTGGGGGGACACGGACCATATGGGATGCCATGGTTGGAATCCGGGTCAGGCGCATGCAAGGAGAGCTCCCTACCATCAGTTCTATCTTTCTGGCCCACTAAAACCCGAGAACTTCGGTAAGATTTTCTCCTTACTTGCAGCTATTTGCAGCTTCTGAAAGGAAGGCAAAGAAATGGGTTTGGGTTGTAGTTTCTCTCTTTCTTATGGGCTCTTATGAATATCTTAACAGTGGATACGCATTATGAGTCTCAGTCTCCTGTCTGCCAAATATTCTCCAAAACCTTTTCTGTTCAACAGAAACATACTACAAGTGGCATATATAGTATGATGATCAATATTAATAAAGGAAAAAGAAGGGAATGAAATTTATTGAAGTAATAAATTTAACCTAGCTATCTCAAGTATTGTCACTTGACATGCAATCAGTGGAAAGATTAATGAGCTATTTTATATTGTTTTTTTTCCTGATAAGTCTTTGCGACGGACTGTGTATGTTATAGTACATCGCAATTTAGAGTCACTGCATGCGGTGAGTTGTAATAGCAGACAGTAAAGTCCTGAAGCTTTTGTTGATAGAGAACAGAAGTCCATAGAGGGGTCAGGAGAGACATAGACTCATGTCTTATTGCTCTTCATGCCAAACATAGGCTTCCTTCTCTTAGAAAAACCCAATATGTAAAAATTCATCTTGACAGGAAAGGTAAAGCAGGAAGTGATTATTCATGTTACAAAAGAATGAACCACAGGATCCTTTAAATAGCAAGTTCCCTTAGTGCACTGAAGAATCTGACTCAATTTGCAAAAATGTGATTGGCACTTGGCATTTTCATAGCATGCTGGGCAGAGAACTATCTGCCATTCTCAAATGCAAGGTAAGCTTTATCAAGCACCTACTATAGGTCAGGGATGTCCTCTGGGAAGTCCAGACAAACTCAGGACCCTCCAGAAGGCAGGCAGGGTGCATGGGATGATCTTAGTGTCAAGGAAGGGAACAGCAGGAAAGAAAAGAGCAGCTCAAGAGGATATTGGTAATACTTGAAGACGGTGCGATTATACTTCATTTCATTTATCCATGCTAAGTCCCCGGTCCTTGACTGTTATTCAGAGCCAGCAGCAGTTAGGATGTATCCCTGGGATCACAGAGGGAATGGATGAGTGAGAAGCCAGAACCAGTTTCTCTTGAGATTGCGATGACAGGTGTCAGCTTCTTACTTCTTAGGAATCATCTTAAACAGATTCCTTTGTCCTCTTGTGATTTACATTGATGCAGAATGGAGAAGATGATTTACTGTTTGATATACAAAAAGCAAGGTTGTATGCTGGACTTTGGTCAGGTCGCAAGTCCCTCGTAGTACACAGGGTTCAAGTTAAGCATGAAGATGGACCCTGAGCTGATTCCTCCATCATGGCCTTTCTGTCCTATGTTCCTCTTCTCTAGGTGTTTTCGGTGCTGCTACCCTACAGCTTCACTTTCTGCCATTTCTTGTTGCCATTAGAAAAAGCTCAAACTTTCTTCCTGAAGTGGGATTTGTCTTGGGGAGTCTAGTTTCAGCACTCTAAGAATTTTCTTATTGAAATAAAACTCTACTTTTATTTATAGAGTTATACATGTATATGACTATGCTAGTTGAAAAAACTTCAGAGAAGCTTCCAAACGTTTATTGGGTTTGGCAAACTTTTGGAAAATGTTTGATGGAAGAGTCTCAGACTTTAGACATTGGTAGGAAATGAAAACATTTATCTTTAGAGTTAATCCCAATAGCTGTGCACTATAATAAGGTAATTTAAACCTAAATCAAAAGTAGAAGACAATATACATTATTGGGACAGTTTAGAGGTTTTGGGTCACCTCCCAAACAATCCCGTATGATCTTGTTGGCGTGTCATTATGTTTCCTCCCAACATGACTGGCAGAAGACCCAGTTTCACCATTTTGTTTACTTGACGACAAACTAAGTGTACCTTCAACTCCTACTTTCTTTACACAATTCTCTTTTCCAACTTTTACTCTAGTTAGCAAGGGGGATTTTACTTTAAAAGGGGTAATAACCACAGTGAGGCTTTACTGGGAGGTCCCACAGAACAGCAGCACATCCTGCAAAGCTGTCGCCCCTGTGAAGGACACCACTGTCCTTCCGGTTGCTACCTCCTGACCCAGAGGCAGCTTCCTTTGTGGAACTTCAGGTTCTTTAATTGGGAAGATGGGCATCATAATATGGTGAGGATTAAATGAGATAATGCAGAAGAAGAGTCTGACAGGTGAACAGCACTGACTTGGCTGTTCCAAAGAAAAGCTTCAATAGATCCACGTCTAGGTCCTGTGAAGAAAGCTCTTTTCTACTTGCTCTGGTTCCTTTAATTTTGTTTTTGAGCCACACCTGGAGATGCTCAGGAGTTTCTTCAGGCTCTGCACTCATGCATCACTCCTGGCAGTGCTCAGGGGACTCATATGGGATGCCAAGGATCGAACCTATTCCTTCGCATGCAAGGCAAGCTATACCCACTGTATGATCGCTGCAGCCTCATAGACCTGCTTCTAATTGTTAGGATGGTTCACATTAGCCATTGAGAGCAACCCATGATACATAGTATTAGAGTGTTTGCCTTTGTGTCTTCTATGGAACCAGGAGAAATCTGCAAATGATCCCCTTGTTTATGCTATTATGCGCCCCTTTCTGTTGATAAGTGTTGATTAAGTGATGAGAGTGGTTCACAACTCAGCTTCACCCTGAGCAAATTTATGAGAGCACAAGAAGCCAGCTAATGTGTGGAGTAAAATAAACGATCCAGACAAGGAAATTCCACTTTGAGTTGCTTATGAGCTGCCCGGTGTGGCTGACAGCGTGTGCAAGTGACAGAAATAACACACCAGCCTGGATGGTGAATCATGTTTTCTGACCTGGAAGCATTTGGAGAATTGATCTGTAATGGAAATGCCTCCCCCGTCCCCCAGACCCCACGCAATGATCAACATTTTTCCCCCAGTAAAAATGACCACAGTATATTGAACTCAAAGAATCATGTACAGGGGACAGGATATTCGTACAGTGGATAGGGCATTTGCCTTGCATGCGGCCAACCCGGCTTTAATCCCTTGCATCCTGTATGGTCCCCCCAAGCCTGCCAGGTGTGATCTCTGAGCACCGAGCCAGGAATATGTCATCTTAGCCTTAAACGAATAAATTTTCATTAATACATTAGTACATTTTTTGGCATACCTAGATGTGGCCCTCCTCACGCACAAATGAAAAATCGTGTACAATCTTGTCTTCTATAAAGAAATCTTTGTCAAACGTAATATTACTAAGATGTTCTCTTGTGCCTTTTTGTGGTGCTGGGGATGGAACCAGGGTGTCACACATACATAGCAGGTGCTCTATAGCGGAGTCATGTTCTATAGCTTCTTTATGGAAATTTTACCTCTTCTATTACACATATGATCATTTTTTATTTCATTGTGTTTGAATGCTCCATATATATATATATATATATATATATATATATATATAATGAACTTTTCCTCTTCACCAATTTTTTGACCACAATCTCCCATTTTTAATTGTTCAAGGGGAGTGCTTGAGTCATACTCTATGTTGTGTAGCGGCTACTTCTGACTTAGGGTCACTCCCAGTGGGGTTTGGTGAACACATGGTTCTGGGGATCAAACCTGGGGATAGCATGTACTCCCTCTCTTTGAATCATCACCTGGCCTCCATTTTACCATGATTTCAAAGTTGCTAATTTATCACTTGGGTCTTGATTGTGTGCCATGCTTTCATGCATTCATACTTTCACTCATTCCTATGGAGCTACAAATCAAGGATGAAAAAAAAGGACAGGAAATTGACTGAGGTGGCCCCGAAACTCATTTCTGACACACTGCCCCCTTGCGTCAGGGTTTAAGCGAGTTGCTAAATCCATCCAGGGAGAAAAGCGCCAGTTTCTGGGTTGTTGAGCCTGCTAATCTGTGCTGGCACTTTGTCAACTAGAAGACCCATATGCCTCCAACTCTGACCAAATGCGAAAGGTCGCCATGGTTTCGGATGGTTGTACCGCTGAAGAAGCCATCTGTTGAGAGGGCAGTTGTGCCCACAGACAGAGGCAGTCTAAGACGTTGGCTTGGCCAGTGGAGCCCTTTGTATCAGCTGTCTTTATACGACTTGTTGCTGAGAGAGGGGGATTATTTTTATAGGGCACTCTTCCTATCTCCCACCTTTTGCACAACTAAGGCCCAGATGGGTAAGCACTGCCGTGCAGTCTTGGCAGAGGGAGGGCCACTGGATAGCCAACAACTTTGCATCTGTTCAGTGCCATCTCTGTGCTTGGGGAAACGGTGGCGGAGAGGGACAAAGGGTATTGTTCGTCATATCATTGTGGGATTTTCCCTCTGAAATCCCTTGCTGGCCCTGAGACCCGCGGGTCACGCGGTATGTGCCTCACCACTGACCAGCAGTCCGTGGTTTCTGAGCGGTCGCCTCCTGCTGTGCAAGGCCTGGCTGTGTTAAGTACTACTGGAGGGGAAGTCCATTTCATGTGATTACTGAGCTTCAAGGGGTGCTGGGCCACTGACTTAGCCAACAGTTGATCTCAAGTGCTCTTTTTTTTTTGGTCCCTGTTCCTTGCAGTGGAGGCCATAGTGGAATTTGACTACCAGGCCCAGCACGACGATGAGCTGACCATCTGCGTGGGTGAGATCATCACCAACATCAGGAAGGAGGATGGAGGCTGGTGGGAGGGGCAGATCAACGGCAGGAGAGGTTTGTTCCCTGACAACTTTGTAAGAGTGAGTACAAAGCCAAAGCCTTTTCCTGTCTCTGGTGGGTTTTACTGATCAAAGCATGGGGGCACCTGAGGAGGAATTTCTTGGGCATTGAGTGGGATGGTTGGCAGCTTGACCCCTTAGGAATCACCAGAAGAACATGTGAAACTTTGGCAGAGATATCTAGCGCAACTGACCTGTTTGGAAGTCAGTTTTGAAACCCCCAGATGTTCTCTTTCCAAACTATATATCACTTAGAAAATGCGGCAAAAGTAGGCAACTGGTTCAAAATAGTTTATGAATGTACTTCTTTGCTCTCATATCTTAAAAGAAGTTTTACCCTTTTTAATTTCATTCAAAATGAAAGTGAAACTCAATTTGGGGGGTTTATTTCTGGGGTCACACCCTCTTGTGCTCAGGAACTATTCCTGACTCCGTGCTTGGGTCAGTCCTGGCAAGGTTCAAGGAACCATATGGAACTGCTGGGAAACTCATGTACTAGTGCTTCTGCGCTGAAACTCAGTTTTGACCCCCACATAAAGTCAAGAAGAAGAGAAAATTCCAATTATGCTATTTTCACACCTTTATCATCCTACTGCTCTCTTGATAAAAGCAAGATATTTTTCTTGCTTACTTTTTTTTTTTTTTGGTTTTTGGGCTGCACTCCATAATGCTCAGGGCTTTCTTCTCACTCTACACTAAAGAATTACTTGTGGCTGTGCTTGGGGAACTATATAGGGTGCCTGGAATCGATCCCAGGTCGACTGCATGTAAGGCAACCACCCTACCCACTGTACTATTGCTCCGGCCCCCGTTGCCTGCTCTTTCTGGCTATGAGGTGGTATCGAGTAAAAAAAAATGTACTTTTCAGTATGGTTTTGAAAATAATACTTTTACAGAAGTCATCTAGGAGTTTAATTCAAAATGAAGCTCGTTTATGTTAGAAAATTACTGATTAGTGTTAAATTATAGGTGAGACTGGGTAGGAAGGGGGTCACCTGGAGGCTCTTCCCCTTGGGAAATACCATATAAGCCTAAAAGTTCCTGTATCGCCATGCTGGATCCCACAAGGCTTTCAGAGTGGGCATAGAAATCCACAGAGCCCTGCTGTGCTTTGGGTAGGATTTAAAAACTTCTTCTTCTTCTTCTTATTATTATTATTATTAGTTAATGAATCACCATGAGATACAGTTACGGACTTACAAACTTTTGTGATGACTTTTCAGTCATACAATGAGTACCCATCCCTCCACCAGTGCCCATTCTTCTCCACCAATGTTTCCAGTATCCCTCCCGCCACCCCCACCCCTTCCCACCCCTGCCTCTGTGGCAGGCACGTTCCCTCTTACTCTCTCTCCCCCTGGGTATTATGGTTTTCAGTACAGGTACTAAGCAGTTTTCTGAAAGGGATTGATGAGGAAAGACAGTGCTTCAGGCATGGGACCTTGAACCTGGACCCCGCCTTCCAGTCCAGAGAAATAGAAAACCAGCACAATTTGGCCCAGGGGATCCTCCTGACAGTTCTTTCTTTTTGGACCACAAGGGGAAAGTTTTGTTGATACTAGGCTAAATATAATTTTTTTCCTCTGAAAACACTTGCAAGAATCTGGACTTGCCCTTCTTCGGATTACGGTTGGACCTAGCAGTTCTGTCCGTTTTGTTTCTTTTTGGGTCACACCCGGCGATGCACAGGGGTTACTTCTGCCTCTGCACTCAGGAATTACCCCTAGTGGTGCTCAGGGGACCATATGGAATGCTGTGAATCGAACCCAGGTCAGCCGCGTGCAAGGCAAACGCCCTACCCGCTCTGCTGTTGCTCCAGCCCCAGTTCTGTCCGTTTTGTGCTCAGGAAAGCATTGTAGCTGGATTGCAGTGAGATCACATCTCAACAGCGGGCTCCGCAGAGTGTGTGAGTGAGGAGTTCCCATTTCTCTTCCCAACATAGCGCTCACTTTGGGGACCAGACTCATCCTTGATGTCCAGCCAAATCCAGGGTGGGGATGGAGCATTTTCCCGGATAAGCTGGGCCAAGCTTGGAGCGAGGCTAGAGGACCAAACAGTGGAGGAAGACCGCTGGATAAGGGAGCAGAGACCCTGGGGAGGAGAAGAAACTGTGTGGAGCTCCAGGGCAAAGGGAAGGCCCTACATTGAAATCCTTTATTGTGCTCTGTGGCTTGTTGTCCTTTTCCCAAACTACCAGGCTGCAGACTTCCGATGGGCTGTGGTAGGCTTGGCTCGGGTCTTTCAGGCTGGTCTGGAACTGGCAGGCGGGGAGAATGGGTGCAGCAACAAGCCCAGGCAGGCTGAGAACCTCCTTGTACCCATTTTCCTGGGGAACGGAGGTGCCGTTGGGTGGGAAGGGTGCCGAAGGGCGCCTCTGCTAGCCCTTTCCTCGTTGTTTGTATCCATTTTCTTTTTTGGTTTTGCTTTTTGGGTCATACCCGGTGATGCTCAGGGGTTTCTCCTGACTCTGCACTCAGGAATCACTCCTGGCAGTGCTTGGGTGACCATATGGGATGCTGGGAATCGAACCTGGGTCGGCCGCATGCAAGGCAGACGCCCAACCGGCTGTGCTATTGTTCCAGCCCCACCTTGTATCCATTTTCCTGGGAAATGGAGGTGCGGCTGGGTGGGAAGGATGCCGAAGGGTGCCTCTGCTAGGCCTTCTCTATCTGCTTGTCCTTGGTCAGGAGCAGTAGGGGATCACTGCCATCGGAAGGTGACCGAGTGGGAGCTGGGAGCAGCGCAGCTGGAGTTTGCCTGTGGGCTCCAGGCCGGGGGTGGCCCAGGCTGTCACTAACTCTTCTTCCTCATCAGTCCATCCTCCTTTCAGGACCCAGCTTCGGGTTCTAGCCCTGACTCCTGCCTTATCCACTCGGTCACACTTGCTGAAACCTCCTTTTGTTTTATTTTTTACAATTCTGTTGTTTATTTCTTTGATAATGCACAATTGATTTGCTTGATAAGGTAAAGGTAAAGGCCCTCCCGTTGATCGTCGATTTGCTCGAGCGGGCCCAGTAACGTCTCCATTGGAGACTTTGTTGTTACTGTGTCTGGCATATCGAATACTCTCTCCGAGAGGGGCGGAGGAATCGAACTCAGGTCGGCCATGTTGGCCGCTTGTAAGGCGAACGCCCTACCCGCTGTGCTATAGCTCCAGCCCAATGCACAATTGATTATTTTATTTTATTTTTCTTGATTTTTGGGTCAAACCCAGCAATGCACAGGGGTTACTCCTGGCTCATGCACTCAGGAATTACTCTTGGCGGTGCTCGGGGGACCATATGGGGTGCTGGGAATCGAACCTGGTTCGGCCACATGCATGGCAAATGCCCCACCTGCTGTGCTATTGCTCTAGCCCCAGCATATTGATTCTTAGATGTAACTTTAATTTTTTTTTATTTTTATGAAACACCATGAGATACAATTGTAGACTTACACACTTTCATGATTACGTTTCAGTCATACAGTGGTCGAGTACCCTTCCCTCCACCAGTGCCCATTCTCCATCACCAATGTTCCCAGTATCCCTCCTACCACCCCCATCTGCCTCTGTGGCAGGCACATTCCCTCTTACTCTCTCTCTCTTTTTTTGGGTGTTATGTGAAGCCTCCTTTTAGCCTTTGAATTTGAGTGTGCCTCCTGTTTCCTTTGAGAAAGCCGCTGCCTCATTGATGAGTCTGAGGATTAAAGTAAATGGTACACAGAGGACTGGGGAGAGAGAGCACAGCTTAGTGCTCTCACCCAGGCTCTGCCCCTCTCAATCCATGCCTCCTTTGCAGGCTAGGGCAGCACACAGAAACGTTTTATTTATTATTTATTTACTTTTTATTGAATCACTGTGAGATTGACCCTTACAAAGCTGTTCATGATCAGGTTTCAGTCACACAGTGTTCCAGCCCCCATCCCTCCACCAGTGTACATTTCCCAGCACCAGTGTCCCCAGATTCCTTCCTATCACCCCCACCCCCACCCAGCCTGACTTTACGGCAGGCTCTCTCTCTCTCTCTCTCTCTCTCTCTCTCTCTCTCTCTCTCTCCTCTCTCTCTCTGTCTCCTCTTTTGGGCATTGTGGTTTGCAGTACAGATACTGAAAGGTTATCAAGAATATCCCTCTACCTACTTTTAACATTCAGTTCTTGTCCAGCGTGATCATTTCCAACTATTATTGCATACTGGTCCCCTCTCTATCTTACCTACCACTCCCCCCTCCCACACACACACTTGTTTTTTTAAAATTTTTATTAGTGAAACACCATGAGAAACACATTAGTGAAACACAGTTGTAGACTTACAAATTATTGTGCTTGGGTTTCAGTTATACAATGATCGAATACCCATCCCTCCACCAGTGCCCATTCTCCACCACCATGAATCCCAGTATCCTTTCCACCCCCCCCATCCCCCCCATCCCACCCCACCTCTGTGGCAGGCCATTCCCTTTTGTTTTCTCTCTCCTTTTGGGTACTGTGGTTTGCAAAAGAGGCATTGAGTAGCAGTCATGTTCGGTCTATAGTCTACTTTCAGCATGCATCTCCCATCCTGGGAGGATTCTCCCAACACCCTTTATTTGGTGCTCTCTTCTCTGTCTGAACTGCCTTTTCCCCTAGAGTGTGCGGCTGGCCGCCAAGCCATGGAGTAAACCTCCTGGTACTTATCTCGGCTATTCTTGGGTGGTAGTCTCCTATTTTATTACTTTATGTTCCCCAGATGAATGCAATCTTTCTATGTCTGTCCCTCTCTTTCTGACTCATTTCTCTTAGCATGATACTTTCCATGTAGTACCACTTGTATGTAAATTTCATGACTTCATTTTTCCTAACCGCTACACAGTACTCCATTGACCCACACACACACTTGTGGTAGATTGCAACCATTGATCGGTCATGCTGGTCTTTATTCTCCCTGGCCTTGGATATTAGCCTTCTTCTATATATTTTTATATACCAGAAATGAATGCTGTCACTCTATATCTGTTCCTCTCCATAGACAAAGGGATGCTTTCTAATTTTAATTCAAAATTAA